GGGAGAGGAGAGAGGAGAGAGGAGAGAGGGAGTTAACATGTATTACTTTTGGAGACTTCCTGCCTTATGCATAGGGCAAAAGTGTCCTTTGAATCTGTGGACTGGTTTTTCTTTCCTATGGTTTATGTTGTTGTGGTCAATACTGGACAAGTGTCTTGCACACATAAGGGCTGTGCATACCTCACTAGCATTCCTTCTGTACGGACTGGTGCCTGCTGTTTGCACTTAGCTTTACACTTCACGGACTGGGAAGGTGCTCTTCTGCCCCTCTCTCCAGCCCCCAGGAGACTTCCTAGATTGTGTTCTCTGGGGTGGCTAATGCTTTAACAGAGATGTGGCCTCTGTGCATATCGAATTTGAGATGCACCCACAGTACTGAGGTTGATACAGGTGAAGAGTTTGAGTTCATACCTTCAAGCACTCCTGAATGACCTTTCTGGAAGCATGCAGCTGTGGGTATCATACATTTCTGTGGAACTTCAGTCCTACAGCTGCAGAGAACAAGTAGGTTACTGCAGAGTTTGATAAACCCACTGGCCTCAGCCTGAGAGTTATCAAACTCTAGGGTTAGTCTCAGCTGGTAAAATCTCTTGACTTAGGTTGGGGCTCTACACAACTGACTCCGTTATCCTCCTCCTCAGGACCTGTGACAGGCCAAGTTGAACCTTATAGATATGTGCTTGTTCCCTAATCTTAGGACCCCAGGATACCTCCATTTTGAACAATAGGTCTCCGTTGGAGATGGTACTCAAATGCTAGCCTTTGAGACAGATAGAGTGACAAAGTGGACTTCTTTTCAACCACTGACCCTTTTGCTGGAGGAGTAAGCTTTTTTTTATGTCATCCATACTTTTAAAAATTGATTCTTTATGAATTTCACATTTTGTACTCCAATGGTGTGGCAGAAGCAAAAGGCCTTGCACTAGACCAATGACTCATTGCAATGAACATTTCCGACTATAGCTGTTTGGACCACAGGGTATATGTACTGAGTGACACACCATGACACACCACAGCTTCCTCCATGAGGAATGAGCTTTTGAAGGCTACAGCCTGGTCCTGAAGTTAGGGCTGCATGCCTCATCGCCCATCTCCCTTTGGAGGTGGCTTCTTCCCTCCATGCAAAGTGACTTCATGGTCAAAGCTGTGTTTGATTTACTGTTTTTTGGTGCTTTGCTGATCTCTTTTTGTTACAGTTTTCACATATGGTTTCCTATCCTCTCTGGATTTCTGAAGCTCTTCCTTTTCCCCTGTAGCATGCAGTTTCTACTACCCTGCCTTAAGCTCTGGGCAGACACACGCTACCGTGCACCGCTCAGGAGCCACCCTGCATCCGCAGATGAAGCACACACACACACACACACACACACACACACACACACACACAGAGAGAGAGAGAGAGAGAGAGAGAGAGAGAGAGAGAGAGAGAGAGAGAGAGAGTTTATTTTTATTTTTAATGTGCTTTTTTAGCTCAATGGCCAGGAACTTCTAAACCTCCCACAGCTAACATGCCCTTATCTTCATCCGCAGCACAACACCTCTAATTGTGCTGTCATCTTAGTTGGTCAGTTACCTTTAGTCCTGGGTCAACATCTCTAAATCTACCCTCAGCTTAGGTGTCCGGTTACATTCTCTTTGCTCAGCACCCTAAATCTGCCCTTAGCTTAGTTGCCTTTCTAATCTCCAACCTGCTATCCCAGGCTCAGTCAGGGAAGCGGCCAATGGTCACTCCACCAGAGATCTCACACGACTCTCTCTCCCTCGAAATCATAGCAAATTTTTCTTTCCTTGCATCTCCTAGCCTGCCTGTGGGAACCTAGAAGTCCCACCTCTCCCACCCACCCAGGAACCCCCAATCCCCCCACCCTCAAAATTCCCACCCCCTGGGGCATCCAGCCTTCATGCGGTCAAGGTTCTCTTCTTCCACCTATGCCCAGCAGGGCCCTCCACTCTTACATATTCAACTGAAGCCCTGGATCCCTCCCTAAGTGCTCCCAGGCTGGTGGTTTAGACCCTGGGAGCTGTGGTTGGTTGGTATTGTTGCTCTCCTCATGGTGCCGCAAATCCTTTCAGCTCCTTCAGTCTTCACTCTAACTCCTCTATTGAGAACCCCATTGATGGATCGATCAAGAACCAATTGGGTTTCACATGCGGATTCCAGCTCAAAGCATCAGAATCACCCTCTACGTTTCCCCTATTCTGACTCTGACTAGCTCACATGACCGCAGCTTCTATCGCCTTGCAAGAAACTTCTGAGCGAAATCTTTAGAACACATTTAAAGTGCATCACCATATTGCCAAACATGCCTCAAGTTTCATTTACACGTGTGGATAGAGGTTGTCATAGTACATAAAGAAATAGAGACCAAGAGCAAGCACTGTAATTTTATGAATTAAATATGTATTTGAAATGATTTTCTATATAACTATTTTTAGACCATTGAATTTTTACAAAATGTTTTCTTCTTCTTCTTCTTCTTCTTCTTCTTCTTCTTCTTCTTCTTCTTCTTCTTCTTCTTCCTCTTCCTCTTCCTCTTCCTCTTCCTCTTCCTCTTCCTCTTCCTCTTCTTCTTCTTCTTCAACTTTGTGTTACTTTCCAGCTAATGTACTATATGAGGCAAGTTAAATTTAAGTCACATGAGGAAAAATGGATAGTTCTGAATGACAATGGAGATTTGGGATTTGGACACTATGATATCCTAAACTGGCAATTAAATGATATGGGCGAAATTTCCTTTGTGACAGTTGGGAGATATAATTTCGGAACTCAAATGTTTGAGCTCATTATTCCAATGAATTCTACAATATTTTGGAACACTGAGTCATCAAGGGTGAGTTGATCTGATATATTATTTTCTTTATATTTATAGAAGTTTATGTATTTTAAAGATAACAGTGAAATGTTAAAATCTGATCTGATATATTATTTTCTTTATATTTATAGAAGTTTATATATTTTAAAGATAACAATGAAATGTTAAAATCTGAGAAATTATTTGAATTATAAACCAGTATTTAAAAATATAACATGATTCATATTTTTAACTTTTGGAATATTTTCTTGGATTTTAGTATTAACCATTAGTTTCAGTATGTTACCTTCTCAAGTACTCTGACCATAGTTATTTTTGACCTTCTTGGTTTTATTTCATTTTTCTATTTATGTAGTGGTGAGGAATGTGTATGGGTATGTATAATATGAGCTTTATGGGTTCAACCCAGGTGGGATCCCATTGCTGGGAGAGGGAAGTGGGTACCAGGTCCACCACTAATGAAAGTATTATTGCAATTGCTGGCAAAAAGAATATCAATTTTCTTCAATTGAATGTTACTGGCTATATAAACCACACTTCAGGGTAGGTCCCATGTCCAGAAATAGTTGACTAATACAAAATGAATTCCTGAGTGTGTGTGTGTGTGTTTAGGCAGTTGTTTTGTTTTGGAATTTATTTTGTTTTATTATATATTTTAAAAGATTTATTTATTTATTTATTTTATGTATATATGAGTACACTGTTTGCTATCTTCAGACACACCAGAAGAAGGCATCAGATTCCATTACAGATGGTTGTGAAGCACCATGTGGTTGTTGGGAATTGAACCCAGGACCTCTGGAAGAGCAGCTAGTGCTCTTAACCACTGGGTCATCTTTCCAGCCCATCTTACTATATTTTGTTTGCTTGTTTCACTTTTTGCTTTTTTTATTTTGTTTTTTCATTTCTTAAGAAAGGGGGAGAAGAAAAAAACATGAGGATACATGGGTAGGGAGAAGGGAAAGATCTAGGAAGAGATGAGAGGGGTAGAAAAAGACTATCAAAATATACTATATGAAAAGTTTAAGTCAAAAAGAAGCACTTTCTTATCCCTAGAATATGATTTAAATTTATTTGTGAACATCACCTTTAATCAGAATTTCAAAGTATACATCTTTGTAAAATATATGCTATGAAAGGAGGGTTGTGTTTGAGATGAAAATTTATAAATTGACTTAGCAAGAAAATATTTCTGGACTATTCTTCTTGTGTAATTCTGTTACGTCTTTTACATTTTTTCCCCTGGAACTGACTTAATTTTTTTTTTACCATTTATAAAACATCTTTAATTTTAATGTTATGGTGGGGTGATTATGCTGAGAGAAAATGTGTTTCAGGTTTTCAGGAAGATTATTATAGGGTTAAATTCTTTTAAACAGGAACAGACTAAGCAAACTGTCCCATCTGCAGCATCTCATGTGACATTACTTTATTCTTGATCACCAAGATGACAAAGAACTGTTACTACACTTAGCTTGGCAATTCCAGAGTCAATCGAAAGATTGTTCTTTAGCCGAAGTTCTTTTTAGGCTCTCCATGTTGTCCTGCTTCGTTTGTTGTCTTTGCTCAGTACCCTTGGCTGATCTCTTCTATTATTAGGACATAAGTCTCCATGGAAAAATAACCCAGCACTTTGAACATTTCACAAGTGGGAAAGTTTTGAGGATTTTAAAATATCTACTATCTTTGTCTTTGCTAGCGTCCAGATTCATTCTGCACACAAGTGTGTCCTCCAGGGACCCGGAAGGGGATTCGCCAGGGGCAACCCATATGCTGCTTTGATTGCATACCATGTGCTGATGGATATGTGTCAGAGAAACCAGGTAGTGATGGACACTTTTGCATTGATAATAATACAGTTAAACAAACCAAGGGATGTTAAGAGAACTTCCTATAAATCTTTATAAGCATAATATAACAAAAATTCATGAAACCCATAAAATATTCCTCTGTGCAGTGTGAATAAAGGAAAATATGAGTTTTTACTTCTGATATAAGACAAAACCTACCACCATGAAGTTTATAAAGAAACACCCAACAAAATAAATAAAATGGGAAATACAAATAAATTCATAAAATCTTCAAATTACTTGCTATTTTAAAGTAGATCCAGCATTTATTGTAGTTGGGAAAAGGTCACCCTATTGTGTTAAGGTTCTAAGCACTGAAAACGCATGCTATGCACAGTGGCTGCAGAATGAACTGCTATGACAGTCTGCTCGGTTGCTAATCTCCAGAGGTGACTTAGGCAGGCTTGGTATTGTGTATGGTGTTGAACTAGGTTTATTTATATTTCCATTTGGCTTTTGGTTGAAGAACCAAAAATGTACTTGTCTTTTGTCACATAGACCTCAGAGTAATTGTGTAAAAAATGGTAAAATGGTCTATGATAGAAAGCAAGCACCTTGTAACCTATACAACTCCCTGGCAACAGCTCCCCCAGGGTCCACACAGAATTCTACTCAGAGATGTCCAGACCAGGAGACAGAGTGGTTGAAAGCAAACACCACTCTTTACCTGATTTTTAAAGTTAACACTGAATGGACCCATTCCATCATATACCATAACCTCACCTCAACTAGCTTTTCCTTGTTCACCAATGCTTCTTCTAAGAGCCTCCTGCCAGACTTAGCCTTCTTAGCCTACGGAACATGGTTGGTGGTTTTGATTTTTTCCCCCATCATCATCCTCATCACTCATTGGAATGAACATCTGTAGTTGGGGACATTTGGGTGGGCACATGCATGATTCTCCTCCATGAGGGATATTGGATGAGAGACTGAAAACACAAGGTGTTTGATCAGCTGTGTCCCAGTCATTTGGGTCATTTACCTCAGAAGCTGTGCCTTTCTTATTCCTGGGCTGTTCTAGACTTGATAAAGGCACAGATAGATAGTTCTTCAATAGAGAGTTAGAGGAGAAAACTACAGTTAATCACTGGAGAAGACCAATTCAAGAAAGACTCAAATTGAGAAGAAATGTTCAAGTTCTGAAGTTGAAAACAACCCTCAATCTGTCACCGCATTTATAGATGCCAAGAATATTTTCCCACTATTAAATATAAGATATTATATTATATTATTTTATAATATAAGATATTATAAAAGATTTCCAGTAAACTTTGTTCAGGTATTTAATTGGCTTAGACTGTTCACAGTCAAAAGTGACAACTGGTTCCTTTGAAGTCAATAGTCAATTCTGTGTTCTTTCCTAATAGGTCAAAGGGAATGTGATCCATGCAGTGAAGATGACTGGTCCAATGCAGAGAAGAGCAAGTGTGTGCCAAAGCTTGTGGAATTCCTCGCTTATGAGGAGGCCCTGGGGTTCACCCTCGTCATCCTTTCCATCTTTGGGGCACTTGTGGTCTTGGCAGTCACTGTTGTGTATGTAATCCACAGGCACACTCCATTGGTGAAAGCCAATGACCGAGAGCTGAGCTTCCTCATTCAGATGTCTCTGGTTATCACGGTGCTGTCATCCATGCTGTTCATAGGCAAGCCATGTAACTGGACCTGCATGGCCCGCCAGGTCACTCTGGCACTGGGCTTTTGCCTTTGTCTGTCTTCCATTCTTGGAAAGACTATTTCACTCTTTTTTGCTTACAGGATTTCTGTATCCAAAACCCGGCTTATATCTATGCACCCTGTTTTTCGAAAATTAATTGTACTCATCTGTGTTGTAGGGGAGATTGGTGTATGTGCAGCTTACTTGGTGTTGGACCCTCCAAGGATGTTCAAGAACATTGAAATTCAAAATGTAAAGATCATCTTTGAATGCAATGAAGGTTCTATAGAGTTTCTGTGCTCCATATTTGGGTTTGATGTTCTTCTGGCTCTGCTGTGTTTTCTTACAACCTTTGTGGCTCGCCAGCTGCCAGATAACTATTATGAAGGGAAGTGCATCACTTTTGGGATGCTGGTCTTTTTTATTGTCTGGATCTCTTTTGTCCCTGCTTACTTGAGCACCAAAGGCAAATTCAAAGTGGCTGTGGAAATATTTGCCATTTTGGCATCCAGCTATGGCTTGTTAGGCTGTCTATTTCTTCCCAAGTGTTTCATTATCTTGCTGAGGCCAAAGAGGAACACTGATGAAACTGTTGGTGGAAGAGTCCCCACTGTTGACAGGAGCATCCAGCTGACCTCAGCTTCTGTGAGCAGTGA